GTGGGTGATAGAGTAAGTGAGTGAGGGAGTTAGTAGGTGAGGGAGTAAATGTGTGAGGGAGTTGGTGAGTGAGGGTGTTAGTTATTGAAGGAATTTGTGGGTGATATAGCTAGTAAGTAGGAGAGTGGGGGAGGTAGTAGGTGAGGGAGTTAGTGTATGATAGAGTAAGTGAGGGAGGGAGTTAGTGTATGATAGAGTAAGTGAGGGAGGGAGTTAGTGGATGATAGAGTAAGTGAGGGAGGGAGTTAGTGTATGATAGAGTAAGTGAGGGAGGGAGTTAGTGGATGATCGAGTAAGTGAGGGAGGGAGTTAGTGTATGATAGAGAAGTGAGGGAGGGAGTTAGTGGATGATAGAGTAAGTGAGGGAGGGACATTTTTCGACCTTATCCCGTATGTTATTACAGGACAATCTACAATATCTCAGAACTTACAAAAGGAATTTAAGATAAGGTAAGCTATGATATGTAGGCCTATTCATAAGGAACATTTTGTAAGCTAGGATATGTAGGCCTATTGATAAGCGTATTAGACGGTAATAATATTACACAATGACCATCGTTTACTGGTCGGACTCACATATGTTACTGTCCATATACACTCAATAGCGTGTTCGAGAGCCCCGGCGTACCTACACGAACGTACGTACACGTGTCCGAGAGCCCCGGCGTACCTACACGGAGGTACATGTACGTACTTGTGTCCGAGAGCCCAGGCGTACCTACACGGACGGACGGACGGACGGACGGACCGGCGTAACTACAAGGATATATGTACGTATCCGAGAGCCCCGGCGTACCTACACGGATATATGTACGTGTCCGAGAGCCCCGGCGTACCTACAGAGATAGATGTACGTGTCCGAGAGCCCCGGCGTACCTACACGTATATACAGTTGTGGTACCGCACAACGCACCAAAAATAGCGTGCGCACACCGTGCATACATCGTTCACACACCGTCCGCACATCGTCCACACATGGTGCGCACAACTGTGCGATTTAGCAATCGTTCGCCCCGTTGTGCGCTTCTCTCCGCACAACTGTGCGATTTGGTATCATTTGTAGATCAAAATTACGGAATGACAAAAGTACGGAAGGCTTGTGTGCGATAATATACACTATGTATATATCTGTAATTTCTCATCACAATAATCAAGATTAAACAATTTCACCAGAGGGGTATAATACATTATTATATACGTCTCTGATTTCACAATGTATGTTACACAGTATTACATGTACAGCGACCGTTAGGCTGTCAAGAATGGGTTTGGCTCCAAGGTAAGAGAACAGGTAAATAATAATTTGATGAGTGTCCAGAGTTTTACCTGACCAGTGCCTGACACACAGAGTTGATAAGTTTGACCGTAATGAATAGTATTTGTTATTTGCATTCGTTTGTCTATAGCTCCCATTCACCTGGATTTTCACACCCCGGCCTTACCCGACGAGTTACGTAAGTGCCCCAGGCGGGGGGAAAACTACGGTCCAGGTACATGTACAAAGTGGTTATATTTACCTGTATACGAGATTGTGTTGTAATTTTACATGTGTCGATTAAGTTTGTTTAAAAACACAGAAATTACAATTTGTAAATATAAGAATGTATAGATAGAAAGATAAGTTTATAGATGTTGCTAGAATATAGAAACATACGTAAACATCAAGTTTATATGTTTAAACATGAAAACGTATATGTTGTCGAGGCATTCCTCAATTTACACCAACCACGATTGTTATCGCACAACGTCCGTCCATCGTGCGCACATATGTGCGCAAGCAATGATCGTCCAGCTTTTTATCGTTCGCCCATCGTGCACACACCGTTCACACATCGTGCACACATCGTGCGCACACCGCACATCGTGTAACGTTGTGCGATCCCATAACTGTATGTACGTGTCCGAGAGCTCCAGGGTACGTGTCCGAGAGCCCCGGCGTACCTATACGGATAGATGTACGTGTCCGAGAGCTCCGGCGTACCTACAAGGATATATGTACGTGTCCGAGAGCCCCGGCGTACCTACACGGATATATACACGTGTCCGAGAGCCCCGGGCGTACATGTACCTACACGGATATATGTACGTGTCCGAGAGCCCCGGGCGTACATGTACCTACACGGATATATGTAACCAATATGTATTGTACCTGTAAAACTGAGGTTTGCTGAGATACAGGTCTCTAAACAGTACAATACTAGTACTGTAGGTCTCAAGTTTACAAGTATAAACAAAGTACAAAAGAATATTTGTACAAGTTTTGTTTCCTTCATTTACTCACTGCCCCTATGTACTTGTTCGATCACAGACATCCAAGCCGGTAGGTTTACTTACACACCGGTTTGTATATAGTACAATACATATATCAGAGTCCGTACTTCAAGTTAAATGCTTGTTTCTCCCGACGATATTTCCCGTCTTCGCCAATAGATGCGTACATAGGACGAAATCTTGAGACATTCTGACAAACACTACCTAGAACATGCTCACGTGCTCACACCTGCGTTACTTGGAATCCGAGACAAGTTTATATCACGTCTCTGCAGACCTCGGTTATTTTCTAGTGTGCAAAAGCCAACTAAATAAGAACCAGATGGTGTTTTGAGTGTTTTCACAAAGACTGGAGTAAACAATCTACTGGAAATCACCTCTTGAAGGTCATCTGGTTTCTTAATATTGACTGAAGGTAAATGTCTACTGGTATGTAAGTGTTTACAAACAGATATATACAGACACTGTGGGGGATTATCTAACATATACAGGGTATCGGGGTATACAGAAACGTGAGCTACGGTATCATACGTCCAGTCTGTTAAACAGTTCGTACATGTCACTTATCATTGGTGGACACTGGTCTTCTATTGAAGTAACGATGTATGTCCATATTGATACTAAGCCAAAAGGTAGTCGATAAATCTTAAAGAAAGAAGTATAATCGAGATATTTCAGAAAGTATGGAAAACAAAATTCACCAAATATACATTGAAAGAACATATTGAACTACAAGAACAAACAGTAAATGTAATGTGATGTAATGTAAAGTAATGTACTGACGCCGGGTCGCCGTAATATGGACACTTATGCAGTTGTACCATAAATATCCAGTCACTACCTATCCAGGATATATCCAGTCATTAATGTTGAGAACATATTCGTTAGGTTTTTTTCCATGTAATCCAATCCGACCTGCGTTTATATCATACATAAGATTTTTGTTGAGATGAATTCCCGTTCATAGTTTTCTTGTGGGGTGTCAGTGACGTCTGTTGCACTGGTGATTATTTTGATAAAACATGGTCAATTACCAATAAAACAAGGTCCATTACCAATAAAACAAGGTCCATTACCAATAAAATAAGGTCCATTACCAATAAAACAAGGTACATTACCAATAAAACAAGGTCCATTTACAATTAAAAAAAGGTCATTTACCAATAAAACAAGGTCCATTACCAATAAAACAAGGTCCTTTACCAATAAAACAAGGTCCATTACCAATAAAACAAGGTTCCATTACCAATAAAACAAGGTCCTTTACCAATAAAACAAGGTCCATTACCAAAAAAAAGGTCCTTTACCAATAAAACAAGGTCCATTACCAATAAAACAAGGTCCTTTACCAATAAAACAAGGTTCATAACAAATAAAACAAGGTCCGTTACCAATGAAACAAGGTCCTTTACCAATAAAACAAGGTTCAATACCAATAAAACAAGGTCCTTTGCGAATAAATCAAGGTCCATTACCAATAAAACAAGGTCCATTACTAATAAAACAAGGTCCATTACCAATAAAACAAGGTCCATTACCAATAAACAAGGTCCATTACCAATAAAACAAGGTCCATTACCAATAAAACAAGGTCCATTATCAATAAAACAAGGTCCGTTACCAATAAAACAAGGTCCATTACCAATAAAACTAGGTCCATTACCAATAAAACAAGGTCCTTTACCAATAAAACAAGGTCCATTACTAATAAACAAGGTCCATTACCAATAAAACAAGGTCCTTTACCAATTAAACAAGGACCGTAATCAATAAAACAAGGGCCGTAATAACCCTTCCAGAATCAGCTCCCTTTTTATGCATTTTGGAGATTCCACCTTGACTACATGTACATGTAGCATGCGGTTTAAAAGCACAAAATGAAAATAAACGGTTAAACATGTATTGTTGGACACAAAACAACATACACCTGTAAACAATTTGGTATTTTAGAGGCGTGTTTATAATCCATAAAACGGCGGAATGTTAATACATGTGAAATAATGAGAGACGAGATCTGAGTCGATATTTCTGAAGGAAAGATTATCTGAGGTGACTCCAGGTTATCAGTAAATCACGCGCACTAAACACGTCAGGTACACGCGTCTGTTGTCAGCGATACCGCCAGTAAGTGTTACCGGGAGTGATCAGTCCCACTACTATTATAGTCGCCTACTCAAATGCTATTTTAATTTAGGGACATTTGGAAACTTTTCATTTCGTCAACCTGTATTACCGGTCAGGGCTTTTCTCACAAGACCGTGAAAGTATGGTGGCATAGAAAGTGTCAAATTATTTATGAGCCTCTTTACTTCGACCTTGAATACGATTTGCTGAAGATCGACCTACATGCATATACACCCTTCTAAAAACGAATGAATAGAAAGTTTTAATAAAGAGGAAATATCTACTCTCATCTGGACATATATGTATATGGTCAATTCAGGTGTTGGTCTAAATACACGTATATATGCCGACATCCTTATATATATTAATACAGTCCGACGGAATCAGTGAGAGTGCTGGGATGTGGCGATATATATCTCACCTCTGATCTCTTTGATGAGGAAATCGCTGTACTATTTTAGTACGTATACAGATTCCGTGTATAGGTTTATTTTACATCACGACTGTACAGGTGTGCTCTGAGCCTTAACAGGTAAATAACGAGGTACCTACCTGTGTTTATAAACGATCTACCTGTATGTTTACCTTGTAGAGGTGAAAAGGGGCCTAAGATTTATTACTGATTTCTGTGATAAGACCCGGAGGCCGGGGAGGCTTATTGGAAAAAGTGGAACCACGACTTGGACTGAGAATTCCCCTACAGGAAAATAGCGAGTACACGGACCGTGTAACCGGTACATGATGTAGTTCCAGTGCGGTTACCGTAATTCTGTTTGGACACCTAACTCAGTAAGTGACCATCGGTTCCATCCACACGACTTGTAAACCATGCTACATACCCTGTTTGGAGTAAAAGGAACCCATACGAGCGTGACACTGAGATGATCGAAAGATAAACATTTGGACGTAAGTGATACTTTTAAAGGGATTAAACACGAGTGAATATACAGTTGTAAGACCTTGCCATGTTTTGACAGCAAAACACGGCTGTTTTTGTGACTGGGGTACAGTTTAACTCTAGACTTACTTTAGGAATTTGGGACTTATCCGGAACTTCGTACTAGAACATTGGTTTGTTCTTAGTGTAATATTGAGCCTTTACAATCTACCCGATATACGTATTGTTGACAACGGTATTACCACGATCCGAGATTTAGTTTAATGGGAATTTGCGGATATACGTGTGAAGTTTGACATTTGTTACGTTAATAAACACTGGGGCGTTTTTGTCGCCGTCCTAATGGTATGACGGCGTTTTGGTGGCATGCCGAGAAGAAGTACCAGAAAGAAGACACCTGTCACATTGTTTCGGGTCAGAAGTGTGAACCTAGACCCAGTACCTTGTTAGTGTGCTCCTAGTACCCCGCTGTGGGTCGACTTCCTTTTGTCAGCAAGTGAAATACTGGGGTGACCTTTACAGAGCTCAGTGTCATCCTCCGATAATTACAACCAAGTCTCACTGACGTGTCGGGAGACTTTTGGTGACAAACGACAGTAAACAATACCCATGAGAGGTCGCTACCCGTGACGCTAGTACGGTACTCTAAACTGATGTATCGGGATTAGTGATAAAGCTAGCATTGTTTACTGGTTTAACAGCAGGTTCTCGTAGATTTAGTAGTATTATCGGGAGTTATCAGCACTTGAGGAAAATCTGATTGTTTTGACGTAACGTTATTTCTCATCGTGCCGAAAAATATTGTGATTAAGAAATTACATTTTCTTTTATAAATGAAGTCACGTGATACAGTGAAGAGGAAGTGACTGTCGTGACTTTGTTACCCACGGTGTAACACGCCAAACAGCTGACAGTACGTGGCTTTGTTTGTACATACATATTTCTAGTTTGTAGCAGAATTTTCCTATTACGCCACACGCGAAAAAGTGACACTCATCGCTTCGTAGACCACCAACAAGTTTCGGTCAGGACGCTGATAAGGCTTGACGCCGAATCATATTGGACCTCTCCATGCGTGCTCAATGAAAGTAACTTGTGACCTCGTTGCGTATGTATGGTAACCCAAGGTTTCGGACATGCGTGAACCAGACATTTTCTGTTGTATAGTGTTGCATGTCATAACTAAGTAACTCTCCAAGGATTTATCGTCAGATGTAGTGTACATAACATCACAGTGTGTTGAGTGTAGGTACATGCTGTTGCTATAGAAATATTGCACGCGCAGTTATGGCGACCTTGAACCTGAGGTGAAAGCGCGTCAAAGAGAAGTCGCTAGTACGATACTAATTAGGGGCGATAGTAACAGTGGACCAAGAAATGGAAGATTACTAGTAATGTACAGTTGTTGGATCGACCGTGACTGGATACAATGATGTCAAATAACCTCTAAGCAAATATAGCCTCTAAACAAACGACAGCAAAACAAAACTCTTAAACAAGTCGGAACTTGTTACACTGTTGCATAATGGGATACTTTCCGTGACGTCACACTGTTTTAGAGAATGCAGCAAGAATTTCCATGGTGTAAAACAGGTTAACCACGGAATATAATTATGAAGCCAATACGATTAGCAGTCATGTAAGAAAGGCTGTGATTGGTGGAACAGTGATCAGAATGTGTCACCATGACAACTGTTGTTCATGCGATCACACCGATATGTAAGTATTGTACAAAGTGCTATCTGGATATTTATACAAAAATGATTGCAAGTCGAATACAAGATGTACATGTTTAATGCAAAATAAATTCAATAATGCTAGGAATTATAAAAAAGGTGCAAAATTTATCAGTTTCGTTCCTTTTAACTACATTTTGAAATAATGTCGGAATAAGTAAACAACAACAACATAGTAGCACATCCATATTTCTAAGTAAGTTTGCTAAATTAATAACAGTATAAACGTCGAAATGAAAATGATTGTAATCAAATCTACTTTAAACAGTGATACTATGATACCGTAAATAACTCGTTTTCATTAAATAGCTGACCCCGCTTTGTGAACCTATAACTCACATACAATATTCCAGGGTTTACTTTGGTTAGTTTGGTCGTACTTTACCGTTGTTTATGTAGTACAGCAGGACTGGCCGCTGAAATGTTTCTTTTCATCTAAAACCGGAAATTAATATGCTAATATAAACAAGCGCGCAAAGAACTCAGATTGACATCTCTAAGACGCTTACATCCTTGCAAGGTCGACGCGTCAAAGACATGACAAGGAGAGCAATTTATTCTCGGTTTTAGATAAATACATTGGCGGTCGCTACATGTAGGTCTTCGATTCGGCGTGTACGTATGTTATAGACAGGTCGGGACGGCAATATGTAGGAGGGGGCAGTCTAAGTGTGTTAAAGGGAGAAGGGCTGAGACCACAGTGAATGGATGGGGGAGGGGAGGAGAGGAGAGGGGCTGAGACCACAGTGAAAGGGTGTGGGAGGGAAGGGGTTGAGCCCACAGTGAATGGATGGGGGAGGGGAGGGGCTGAGACCATTTGGTTAAAAACCATAATATTTGACTGACGTCATTTTGATTGATTGATAACCATATACATATAAAATCCTATATAAATATGTATCAATACTTCTTACATTTTATATAATAAATAGATTCTCCATATGTGGAGTATGCTGTACTCAAAACCCATATCTCTGTATTATATATGAGACACAATGTTTTAAATATTCGATCACAATTAAAGTCGACCAAGCAAATTTCATCAAGGTATATACAGTTACGGCCATTTTCGTCATCACTGCTAAACGTTAGACAACCAAAATGATAACAAAAACCAAAACTATGAAAACAAAAAAATCGTGACACGTACAGCGTGGAGATACAGAATCTGATATTAACAGTCTGCTGTTATTATTGTAGCGGGTCAAAGGTCAACTGTCATAAACACGTAATACGGTATTCCACAACAACAGATTACGTTACTATGGAAACTTTACCACGTGAGCGCGCGCCCTACAAACATATCGTGACTCCCACGATAGAGGTGGCGTGGAGAAGACAGTAACGATCGGTTGCACGTAGCCACAAATGACCGCGTTACTAAGGTCCGGAACTAAGGCCAACTGACCGCTAGGTTCCGCAATGTCGGACCGTCTAACTTAGGGTTTACAATTCTGCGTCAAAATGTCACATTGCGCATTGATGACAAATCTGAATATATACGTCAGGTCTCCAGCCGAATTCGTAGAAAGGTAAAATAAACAAAGGTCATCGGTCACTGATTCGAAACCGAGGCTATCCATAGGATCGATATCATGATGTGAATGTTTGACTGATCGGTGATCGGATTCGATGTGATGTGAATGTTTGACTGATCAGTGATCAGAGTCGATGTGATGTGAATGTTTGACTGATCGGTGATCAGAGTCGATGTGAATGTTTGACTGATCAGTGATCAGATTCGATGCGAATGTTTGACTGATCAGTGATCAGAGTCGATGTGAGTGTTTCACTGATCGGTGATCAGAGTCGATGTGAATGTTTGACTGATCAGTGATCGGAGTCGATGTGAGTGTTTCACTGATCGGGGATCAGAGTCGATGTGAATGTTTGACTGATCAGTTATCAGATTCGATGTGAATGTTTGACTGATCAGTGATCAGATTCGATGGGAATGTTTGACTGATCAGTGATCAGAGCCGATGTCATGTGAATGTTTGACTGATCGGTGATCAGAGTCGACGTAAATGTTTGACTGATCGGTGATCAGAGTCGACGTAAATGTTTGACTGATCGGGGATCAGAGTCGATGTGAATGTTTGACTGATCAGTGATCAGATTCGATGGGAATGTTTGACTGATCAGTGATCAGAGCCGATGTCATGTGAATGTTTGACTGATCGGTGATCAGAGTCGATGTGAAGGTTGACTGATCGGTGATCAGAGTCGATGTGAATGTTTGGCTGATCGGCGATCAGAGTCGATGTGAATGTTTGACTGATCGGCGATCGGAGTCGATGTAAATGTTTGACTGATCGGTGATCAGAGTCGACGTAAATGTTTGACTGATCAGTGATCAGAGTCGATGTGAGTGTTTCACTGATCGGTGATCGGAGTCGATGTGAATGTTTGACTGATCAGTGATCAGATTCGATGTGGATGTTTGACTGATCAGTGATCAGAGTCGATGTGAATTTTTGACTGATCGGTGATCAGAGTCGATGTGAATGTTTGACTGAACGGCGATCAGAGTCGATGTGAATGTTGACTGATCGGTGATCGGAGTCGATGTGAATGTTTGACTGATCAGTGATCAGATTCGATGGGAATGTTTGACTGATCAGTGATCAGAGCCGATGTCATGTGAATGTTTGACTGATCGGTGATCAGAGTCGACGTAAATGTTTGACTGATCGGGGATCAGAGTCGATGTGAATGTTTGACTGATCAGTGATCAGATTCGATGGGAATGTTTGACTGATCAGTGATCAGAGCCGATGTCATGTGAATGTTTGACTGATCGGTGATCAGAGTCGATGTAAATGTTTGACTGTTCGGTGATCAGAGTCGATGTGAATGTTTGACTGATCAGTGATCAGAGACGATGTGAATGTTTGACTGATCGGTGATCGGAGTTGATGTAAATGTTTGACTGATCGGTGATCAGAGTCGACGTAAATGTTTGACTGATCAGTGATCAGAGTCGATGTGAGTGTTTCACTGATCGGCGATCAGAGTCGATGTGAATGTTTGACTGATCGGTGTAAATGTGTGACTGATCAAGTACGCTGAGTATGGTATAAACCTTACTGTGCTGCAATGGGGGAAAAGTCCATGGAAAAACTATTTTCTATAATTAACGGGATTGTCGAAACACTAATTAATAAGAACCCCGTGCTTCATGACGCTATCAAGATTTTTTTCTGCAAAAAACAACAATTGAAAGGGCAATTTTTGCTGATTTTCCCCCCTAAAGCCCCAAGTCAGACTAAGTTAAGACTAAGTTAAGGAACGACAACTGTAGGTAGTGATCTAGATAAACTGGCAATTGAACTCCTCATCAACACAAGAAAGCGAAAAATAGAAGAAATGTCACTACATTGTAGAGGCGTTTTTATGTAAACGAATGTGGACAGTTACGGCACATGGGTGCCTCTAGGTACAGGTGCTAAATTGGATCATGATATAACGGACTCCCCGCGGGGGACTGAACACCGTAGATTGTCTGACCTGTCGCCATGTCTGCCGACAATAGACACCCCGGTTTTCCTTATGTCGTAACTGATCTTGTTTGACGCGAGTAATTAAAAACCAGCAGTCACCCTACATGGAGCTAGACCTGTCAAGATTTGTTGGTTAGTTTAACTAAAGGTCAGTTACACGCAATGACGCCACCCTATAAGATGGATTTCACTTATTTTTAAACTCTCTCTACTCTATACCTCCGGACCACTGCTATACCCCCGGACCACTCCTTTACCCCCGGACCACTTCTATACCTCCGGCCCACATCTATACCCCCAGACCACTTATATCCCCCGGACCACATCTATACCCCCGGCCCACTCCTATACCTCTGGACCACTTCTATCCCCCCGGACCACTCCTTTACCCCCGGACCACTTCTACACCGCCGGACCACTTCTATAACCTCGGACCACTTCTATACCCCCAGACCACTTATATACCCCGGACCCCATCTATACCCCCGGCCAACTCCTATACAGCTGGACCACTTCTATACCACCGGACCACTTATAAACCCCCGGACCACTTCTATTCCCCCGGATCTCTTCTATACCATCGGACCACTTTTTACCCCTGGACCACTTCTATACCCCCGGACCACATCTATACCCCCTGACCACTTCTTTACCCCCGAACCACTTCTATACCCCCGGACCCCTCCTTTACCCCCGGACCACTTCTACACCGCCGGACCACTTCTATAACCTCGGACCACTTCTATACCCCCGGACCCCTCCTTTACCCCCGGACCACTTCTACACCGCCGGACCACTTCTATAACCTCGGACCACTTCTATACCCCCAGACCACTTATATCCCCCCGGACCACATCTATACCCCCGGACCACTACTTCTATACCGCCGGACCACTTCTGTAACCCCGGACCACTTCTATACCCCCGGACAACTTCTTTACCCCCGGACCGCTTATTTACCCCCGGACCACTTCTATACCCCCTCACCACATCTATACCTCCGGACCACTTCTATAACCCTGACCACTTCTATAACCCCGGACCACTTTTATACCCCCGGACCATTTATATACCCCCGGACCACATATATACCCCCGGCCAACTCCTATACCCCCGGACCACTTCTATACCCCCTCACCTCATCTATACCCCCGGACCACTTCTATTCCCCCGGACCACTTCTATACTCCCGGATCTCTTCTATACCATCGGACCACTTTTATACCCCCGGACCATTTATATACCCCCGGACCACATATATACCCCCGGCCCACTCCTATACCCCCGGCCCACTTCTATACCTCCGGACCACTTCTATACCTCCCGACCACTTATAAACCCCCGGACCACTTCTATTCCCCCGGACCACTTCTATTCCCCCGGACCACTTCTATACTCCCGGATCTCTTCTATACCATCGGACCACTTTTATACCCCCGGACCACTTTTATACCCACGGACCACTTCTATCCCCCCGGAT